TCGCAAGAAAGAATATGAAAGCTCAGGCCTTGGCACCCTTTGCCCAGAATAACTAAAATTCAACAACCTTTTCTTTTTGTAAAAGCAAAACAGTAGAAAGTGTCCTCTACATAAGCTGTTAGTGTCATCTGACAAGATTCAGTCAGATAAACTGATAAACTTAACTCTGTGCTTAAAAGGAGGAAGGAAATGCAGCATGTAGCCCTGGTTAGAAATAAGAAGTTTCAATAAACAAACACAAAACCCACGCATCTTATCTTTTTGTAAAGATTAGTGTAGTTTTAATTTAATAATTCATCCTCCTCTTGCATTTTCTAGATTGAATTTGATTAAATACATATTTTCAACCTTAGATTTATTATTCTAAGTTTTTAATAATTTAGTTCTAAGTGACAGAGATAAAGGAAGAAAATAAAGCAAAAGTGAGATCTGTAATCACAATTTTTTTTCTTCTGTGCCCAAAGGGCTTCTATTATTTCATCTCAGCAGATTCAATCCCCAGTCTACCTACTATGAGACTGGACGAATTGCATACAGATGTAGAAGATAACGTAAAAAAGAATTCTGAGTTTTATCACAGTATAAACCACCTGTTAAAAAAGTCAGCATATACCAGACAAATGGACTTCCATGTTCTAAAACAATTAGAAAAAAGATGACATTTTGTGAAATAACTTTGGTGCTTCTTGACTTGCCAAGTGGATTTACGATCTACCTTGAATTTGACAGATAAAGTTTGTTAAAGAATATTTTAAAGTGTGAGGCACGACACTGAAAATGGCCAAAATATTAGTACCAAAGAGTTAACCTGGATAATGCTGCAGTGAAGGTCTAATCCAGCAGCAACATTACCTGTTGTAGCACTTCCTCCCAGTTTTGTTTGAACAGCTGTTAAACTGGAAATGAACTTGTGGATTTAAGGGCTTACAATCTTTTCCCTGCAGAAGGATAACAAAAAAAAAAAAAAACCACCCACCCCACACCCCCAAAACCCCAAACAACTTTTATTAATGGTTTCTTTTTGCTGAATGCCCTTCTCAAAGGAAAATAGAAATGAAAACAACCTCTCTTCAATTATTGTTCAGCAAACAACATGGTTGCTTCACCATGCACCAAATGGAATGAGAAAATTGTGAACCAGTTGTTCAGCTTACTACTGAACAGTGCCAGGTCTACCCAATGCTACCTGCTGTACAAACACAGGGAGACACTTTCATTACTTCAGGGATTTTATAGCTAAAGGGTATGAGCACATGATCAATGATATTTGAAGTATAGCTGTTTAAGTTAACCGTATTGCTCAACAGCTGAAACTCCATCGCTAACCATGTGTTTGCTAGTGATGCAAGATGTGTACGTCTCATGGGGAATTAATCTTACATAGGACTGACATAACATATTAATAAAAGATAAAAGGCTATAGTTTTGTCTGATAGTTATTTTGTCAGGGTTTTTTTTTTCCACAAAAGAAATAGTGAGTTAAAACTGGGACATTTTCTGGTTATTTGTAGTCACATTAAATTCACAATCCTCAAATACTGGTTTCCCCCTCGGGTCCTACTACCCTGTCAGTAATTATCAGGCAATGCTCCTATTGTTGCTACCACATCCAGTACAGCAACTAAGCAAAGGCAAGTGCAAGTGGCTATATAAGCAGAAGAAAGATATTTTGTCTTTAAGAGCTCAGAGGCTAAGCAGGAAGAAAGCAGTGATCAGAGAGACAGAGGAAAACAGAGATATAGCAATTTATCCAAGTGGCAGACAGTCAACAAGCAGATTCTGGGATATATTACCCGCATCTTTCAGAGTTCCTCACACACCTTCTATCCTAGGCCTCATGCTTCTTCTGGAAAGTGACAAGGTCTCAGAAGCCATAGCTCTGTTAAATTGTCTTCTCAGCTAGGTGTAATTTGTTCTATTTTTAAAGCTAAAGATCTCAATTCTCTTCTCACTTGCACTCAAATGACTCCATTGACTCAAAGAGCAACTATCTTCCATCTATGCTTGTATTTGTACAGAACAGAGTTTCTGCTTACAAGGACGTCCTGTCAAGAAAATACTTAAGAATGCAATCAAATTCCAAAATTTACTTCAGTTCCACTGATTTCCAGGACCACACAGAGAATCAGGCTTCAGAGCTCTACAAAACTGTGATCTCACCTTTTCAGGCTAGACTGTCTTTTATATATACGACCTATTTAACAGTTTATGCATGTGTTGGAAACACTCGTGAGATGACACTTTTTCAAAAACCCAGGTGGCGACTCTTAGTACTTTTCTCTTTAATAAATTGAAGAATAATGCCCAACTCCATGTTTTCTTTGGGGTAGTTGTTGGAAGGACCTCGTGGTCTTACAGACTAACACCAGGATGTTTCGTTTTCTTCCTTTGAAAACATCCCATCTGAGATTTCAGTTGTAAACTGTAGAAAGGTGGTAGGCATCTAAATTAAACAGTTTCAGTGTGTATGTACAATGCATCTCATATATATTTCTAAGACATACTAAGACATAGTTTGAGGCTCAAACTATTCTATGATTCTGTACTCAAACTATTCTACGATTCTGTAACAAATAGGGCTTGGTGAAAGTGACACTGCATAGCAGCAACTGCTTTGCAAACACTGAGTTTGCCAGTATACTGTCTGCCCTTCTCCACAGGCTATTACGCACCCGTTTACAAGGGAATGGGGATGGGAGATAAAATAGACTAAAAAAATAGAATATCAACTACTAAATAAAATTGAACCGATACACTACAGAACAATATTACATGAAACTGGATTCTCCATGTCCAGGTCTTCTCCAGGATCCTCTTCATATGCATTTACATCACTGTAATTGCTGTGATCTATTTTAAACAACTACATTACGATCCGGACGATATGTCTGTTGCTTTACTATGCTTTACTATTTCATTAATTCAGATTAGTCTAGGGGACACTGGATTCCAAATTCAAATGTGCAGATACAGCTGAAGGTTCCCCCTTTGCTTGCAGAAACTTTGCAGGTAGCTCATCCAAGCCTAACTGGTCGTATGTAACTAGAGCCAAGGACCTTCCCTTTGAAATAAATGGGAAGACACCACTTCAAAGTTTTCTATAGTGCTGAAAACAGTGACAGTTCCTGCTTGTCCCCGATAAACTTTGTTAGAATTGTGAGCAGTAAGTGACCCGGTTTTGTTAAGAAAGGGAACCTGTAAACTTGAGCGTACAACTGCCTTATAAATGGGAAGGACACCTGGAAACTTGTTAGTTTGTTGCCGTGGACCATTATAGGCCTCCAAAAGAAAAGAAAGGGGGTTAAAGACAAACAGTCTCATAACAAAACAGGAGGCTTCCTAGAAAAAACTAAGACCCTCCCATATCCACCCGGTAATTATAATTACCGCCAGTAGTGGCATGCCTTCTTCAGCTCCTGATAAAAACACAAAGTGTCTTCTGCTTATTTTCTGGAGAAAAGTAATGGCTTTGGAAAAGATTACTATTGGGATCCAGTGCTGGGTCTCAAAACTGAACACGTTAGGTAGAGATGTCCATGCAGAAGAATGGGATCCAAACTATTAGTAGAGAAAGAAGGAAGTGTTAATCACTAAATAGATCATCATTATCTATTGCTAGCCATTTCCATCGCTAGCAATACTATGTGATAAACAGATTTGAGTAGAGATTCTACCATGAGATAAGGAATTATTCTGCTCATTTCAGCATAATTGTCCCCACTGCAGTTCAGAAAGAAGCTGAATTCTTTTCCCATGAGAACCAGAACCAAGATGTCCCATTGCAATTTTATTTTACAAAACACTGACAGGTCCAAAATTAATAACAACAGCTAATTAACGACAGAGCCTTCATATTAACTGCTGATAACTCAGGAATTTCACATGCAATCACCCTCTGAAGTTACAGTTTTACTGTCCTTGTAGATAAAAATTTGTTGGTTATCTAGCTGTGGTACAGTGGGCCTGTGGGAACCCTTTTCAAGAGTTTTACTGCAGTAAACTACTCAATCTTATAATATGAAGACTTTGATTGTATTTTTCCCAGTGCTCATTAACAGAATTAAGAAAACAAAGGCAGTTAAGTGGGGTGAAAAAATCCAGGGCATCTGATTCAGCAGTAAGAAACACTCTGGGAAGCAGCTGTTCACCAGGAAACCAAATACACGTTAACTAAGTAACTGTAGCTGCTCAAACCACTCTGTTCAGATGTCTTTTCACTTGCCTTCCAGTCACAGTGATAAGTGTGAATATAGTACTTAAACTAAATTGCTCAAATTTTTCACCTCAGTCTTGTTTCACGTAACCAGAAGAAATACCTCCTCCTCAATGTTCATACAGAAATACTTGACGTGACAGATTTCCACTGTTGCAGTACCCATACATTTTGGCATCTCAAGAACCAATTCAAGTTAATGAGTTTCATCTAGTAATGAGAAAGCTGTAAATAAAATGAGACAAAATCATGTTACAACAAAATGCAGAATTAAGATCTGAATAAAATATGCCTGGATGCAATCAGCAGTCAATTAGAATGACAAATTCTACACGGTTTCAAACTAAAGAATTTTAATGGAGTCTTGAAGCTTAGATACAGAAATACAGTTGCAGACAGCCAAGGGTTCAGTTACAAATGTCCAGGATTTCCAGGTAACACTACCAATATCTAATTTTCTAAGGCTGTAATTGAGAAGGTGAAGTTTGTGAAGTTTGCTTAAAGCTTTTTTTTTTTTTCCACTTTTCTTTTTTTGTTTTAAATGTGGATAAAATTTTCCCAAAGTATCTTCTTTTGTATTTTCAAGTCATGTTTTACTTCAGGTGAATGTCTTTCTTTGGTTTTTATCCTTCTAGTATATTTCAAAAAAAGTGGGGAAAAATAACACGTGAACACATTACAGTTGTTTCTCCTAACTATGCCTACCAGTCAGGTGAGAAGTCTGGAGTTTGTACACATACAAATGGAACACATTGGAATGTGCGATCAATTCTCACACACGTCTTAATTAGCTGTCAGTTTCCCCATGGACATTTTCCATGTGCACTTTGAGGTAGTCATTTCTTGTAAACTTCTTGTGGCAAAGCTGGCATTCTGCCATCGGTCGATTGGGGTTGTGAGTCAGCTTGTGTCGGATCAGCATTTTCTTCAAGCTGAAGGACAGATCACAAACCTAAGGCAGTGAAGACAAGACAAAGACAAAAAAAGTCTTAAAACTTAAAGGATGTATAATGCTCCTTATGTTACATCACCGAGGCCACAGCCACACATACCTGCAATACTTAATAAATGAGCTGGTCTTTGGAAGAATAACTCCTTCAGAGAGCACCTTAAAGATTATTACTCTGTCTGGTATCTTTCAATGTTGTACATTAAACGTGGTACCACAGGCACAGGGAAGGGAAAAAAAAAAAAAAAAAAAAAGACCTAGTCTTCAAAATATCAACACACTGAGCTGTCCCAGTTACATTGTGTTTTTTCTTTTAAAACCTATTATTCTATCCGGGATGCAGCAAAAATTATGACAAAATATCACAAGCCTCTGGCAATTTGACCTAAAATAAACTATTTCCTTCCTGACCTCCAGAATAACATCTGCAGGTTTCTAAAAAAATCAGTTCAAATTGCTCAGTTACAAGGAGGGAGGAGTGAGGAAAAAAAAAGAGGCTCTGAAAACTGCAAGAAAGTTTAACAGTTATTGTAGAGGAAACCTCGTTGTTCCACTCTTCCTCTGCCTGGCCATGAAAACGCAATTCTTTTCCTCTATTATCTGGTGTGCTGCTTCCCTTCCTCCACTGTACTCCAAGCAGGCCAGTTCATTCTGCCATTTGAATAAATGGATAGAGGGATGAGGGACTCTGCCATGCTAAAACCATCACTTCTTATAGAAATTCCTATACTGAAGTTAAAACGAAAGGTTAAGAACAAGTTCAGCCAAGAGAAGTTAGAACAAAAAGTTGAGTATCTGTGGGCAAGACATCAAGTCAATTGAAATCATGCAGTTATATCATCACATTCAGCTTCTATCCAGGTACATATCATATGCATGAATTTCCCAAGGAAAAAAAAAATAAATAGAAAGCATGCTCCTGATTCAATAAAAGACATAGGCAAGAGTCATATAATTAAATAAGAATGAACATCCACAAGCTTGCAATCTTAGAATTCCAGGTTCATTCCAGACAAAAATGTCTCTCATGCAGAGGAAATTCAGGGAACTCAGCACAATCCCTCTTTAAGAAAATAAAGTTTTAAATTCATTTTGGTATCAAACTAGCAATGAAAATGCTGAATGATTACTGACGCTCTTTGAAACCAAGACAAGACAAATAGAGCTGACTATCCCAGCAGATAATCTTGACCTACAGTATATGTATTTTATGCCAATTAAGGCAAAACCATATAATGACCATAAAAAGGGCAACTGCCAGAGGCAAGTTTTGTACCCAAAATAATTTTTCCCCAGACAACAACACTGAATGTGCTGCTGCAATGGAACATTTTTGAATTTATGACATAACGTAATACCAAGGACTTTTATACAGCAACTCTAAATCTCCAGCTTTTTTCCCTAAATGTATAATTACCTCTTTCAGACCCACGCAACAGTCACCCTTTTGTTATGCGACAGTGAACATCACTTACAGCATCCACCAGTCAGGTCTCAAGACTGCTTTTGCCAAGTACCATTTTCTATTCCTCTTCCACAGAACAGACCAAGTGAACTCCTAACATTTATCTAATCATAACCGTCATGCTTGCCCACAAGTCTCAATATGTTAAAAGTATCATGTACTTGTAAACACATGTTTCTGGGAAGCCAGAAAGCTGATCAACAATATACACACATACAAGATATGTACGTGTTCTGTGTATCTTAGACACACCTTTTCATTTTTAAAGTTAACAGCTGTAACAGTCTTAAAGTACATTTTTTCATTTATAATGCTCATGTAACAACTAATATAATGTGTCCTGCTATTTCTTCAAGGCTCCAGCATGTTCTACTACCTAACATCTTCAAAAAAACCCATGGAATGCACGGGATCATTACTTAAAGATATCATAAATCTTGGTGCTCATGCATAGAAGTTTTGGGTTTTGTTTTTGGTTTGGTTTTGGTTTTTATTTTAGAGTTTGCTTCGTATTTCAATGTTATAAGCAAGACTGACATTTCATAGATTTACAACCATGCTTGCTAACGAGCACTTGAACTCTCTTCAAAATGATCAAAGTTTTGATTGAGTAGGGAGGATGGAAAAGACTGACATTTGAAAGTAAGTGTAGGGTCAACTAAAAGCAGAGTTGGAGGGAAATACTGTACTGGAAAGAAACCAGGACAGGCAGTACCTGACCTTTCTGCCCCCAAAGAATAATCTCTTGTCTCTGAGGCAACTGAAGTTCAATTGGCCTTTCAGCAAAAAACAGGCTGGTCTTCAGAGGACAGAAATCTAATATACTAGTAAAATAACTGCATGTTTTCTATTTCCGTATTTCAGTTACTTTCACTTTCCTATGTGATACATACTAGAACTTTCACCTTAGAATGGGAAAATTCAATATCCACTACTATCAGTGGGATGTGAAAGCTCTGAGTCATTAAGTTCTGAAAATGCTTTTGTTGACTGATAAGACACAGAAATAGCCACATAAATAAACTGTAGCACCTTCACCAAACAGGGTACAAGGATTACTCTTACATGTCACACAATCCTGTGCTGTAATGTCTGTTCCAAATGCCTGAGACAGAGGAGAGTTAGAGAGGAAGAGAAGACGTGGCTTTTATTTCTGATTCTGGAAGAAAATCCTATTTAAAGCAAAAATGCAGTCTAAAAAAACCAGCTATGAAATAGTTTAAATTGGGTGGGGAAAGATGCACTGTCAAGCGAAGCCTATTCCTGAGCCCATAAAATACACCTTTTTTTTTTTTTTCCCCAACAGCCAAAAGTTTTCTTTCTTCAGTTCTTTGGCACTGAAGACAATTCCTGTTTGTAAATGATAATGGTACCAAGAAACAAAGGATTCTGATAGCAAATGTTAATATGTTATTTAGAAGAAAGAACTGAATAGTTTCTATTACTGCTTCTAATGCCAGGTAGGAAACAAGACCAAAACCCTCCATCCTCTTATGACTTTCAGTGTGGCTTCATGTATGATTACATTTATGAATAAGCTAATAATTGGGAAAAAAAAAAAAAAAAAAGAGACTGTTTTTCACCTTTAAAGGATTCTTAGTAGGTCTGGGAACTGGACTTACGGACTTTTCCATTTATTTCTATGAGTAAGGGCAGGCCAAAAGTATGTCTTCACCCCTTAAAAACATGCAATGGAAATGGGGAAAAAAAAATCTGGAAAATAGTAACAAAAACAGTTATGAACATGGGAAGTTGTCATGCAAAGTGCTGGAAAGAGAAACAACTTCAGAGAAGTTAACTAAGAAGGAACATGGCACAGGTACAGAAAGCAACAAACAGAATAGCTATTAACCCTTTCTGTTAATGAAAGAACTAAAAGACAGTTATTGAAATTCCATTACAGTAACCTGACACACTCTCCCCTCCCCAAAATCTCTTTCCAAAGTTAAGAATTTGTGGAAGTTGTTGCCACAAATTACCGCTCAATTCATTATAAGAAAAACGATGAGAACATCTACAGCTATCTTTAGCAAGATAAAAATTGTAGGTGAGAATATTTGAGTGTAAAAAGCCATCTTCAGCATTGGGGAGCCAACAGTAAATGTCTCCCATAGGCACATTTTTCTGTAACTGTCCACTACTGGTTTTCTCGTAACTTCTACTGAAACATCTAGTAATATGCAATGTGCGATACAGCTCTGGAGGAATGATCTGCTCTCAGTGACATTTACTACATCGTCAGCATCTGCAGAAGTAGAGTCTAAATGAAATAAGGAGTAGGTATCAAAACCAAAACTTTCAACACTTCAATACTCTCCACGTGCGCATTTAACACCGGAGCATGCTAGGTACCTGGCAACTGAAGAGTCTATGAATGAACAGTAGAGTCAACTGCTGTTTACGTCCAAACCCCAAAAAGTCAGCAATCTCTGCAATGTGCAGCTGGCAAGAGACTTGCACTGAAGAATAATTTTGACGAAACACAGCAGTAATTTAAAGTATAAAAAAAATTTCCAGTAAATGAAGGTACATAAAAATTCTCAGAGAAGGACTAGGTCGAGATACAGTTTACAGCTGTTTCTAGCAATACTATGATTTGGGAAATTACATTTCTATCTTATTAATGAGGAAGACTGAAGAAATAATTGAAGCAGGAAAGTTTTCATACAGCTCCTATTTTCAATTAAAGAAACAAAAAAATACCCTAAAATAACCACCCCCCCAAATTAGTCTGAAAAAGCAGGCTGAATCCAAGACCAGTGAATCTTGGATCCACAGTGTGGGAAAAATTGCATTTAAACTGCAAGCTAGCCAACAGTTGATAAACAGCATAGCAATCCGAAAGCTGAAAAAGTTATTGACAATTATTTGGAATTAGAGAAATCCTCAAGGTACTATCTACAGCCAGGCTGAGATTATCCGAAAAGAATACAGCAAATCTTCTGGCTTGTAGAAATCGGCAAAATATTGTAGCTGAATTTTTTCATTAAATTAATACATTTTATTGTCAATGAAACGTCACCACATAATTTATTAAAAGCCAGATCAGTTACCAGACCCTTACGACTTTTATGCCAAGCGGTTCTTCTAATTTTGCATCTAATTCTAGAAATTTGCCATCAAATTTACAACTGGTCAGACTGAGCCATCTAGGATATAACTGAAAGCTGGCGGTTCCCTTATAACTAGTTCATTAAGAGCTAGTCTGACAAAACAAAGCATTTATACTAATTCTATACCCTATTCTGATGCCCTTCTCTAAATCCTCAGGCAGCAACTTCAATTCTGGCATTTGATAATTCTGAAAGACAGTCTTTACCAACAGTTTCTGCACATTCAGTCTCCCCACCTACCTTCCAAAAGCTGTAAGATATGTTGTATATAGGACAGAGTATGCCGAATGAAAGGTGTTCGACAGTGATCTATGAACTGTAATATGACACGCTGCATTTCAGCGCTGCAAGCATACGCAGCATCCACGATTTCTTCATTGAACAATAAAAAACCCAACTATGAGCACATGTTGAAAATATCAGACCAAATGTCACTAAACAGAAATCAGAAATTCTGAATTCCTATCTGTGTCATTCAACAAGATCAGAAGCACTCAGACTCCATGTAATGAATTAAATGCCTTTTCCGTTATAAACTAATCTCCAATCATTGAACTGCCATACAAGTTATATGGGAACCCAAACTGCATGAATTTGTAACTTGCAACATCCAAATTGCATTAATAATGGTGAAAATAACTCTTAAGGGATCCAAACCCATAAAATAAAAGGGTGTGCAACGCTCTTGGCAACTGAAGAGGGTACATAAAATTCCCCGAATGGGCTTTCATTAGTTCGGCAATCAAAGACCGCGTGAAGTGTAACTTTATGCCACAGGCAATAGGTGCAAGGCCGTAGTCTCACCGCAATTAAGTCCTGCTGCTGCACTGAAGTCAAAAAGACAAAGGGATAGATCAACTCACGTCACACTGAAATGGCTTCTCTCCGGTGTGGGTTCTCATGTGCTCATCTAGGCCTCGCTTTTGACTGAAAGCCTTGTTACACTCTGAACATTGGTACGGCTTTTCCTGTATGAAATGACAACAGTGAGTGAAAGTGAGTGAAAGTGAGTCAACACAGAGCCCAAGTCATTAAAGGAGTGGAATTCCATGCTGGATGGTGCAAGTTTTATATTGTCTCTAAGGGATTACAGTCAGTGAAAACAACAGAAAACGACTTTCAAATGATTAAGTGAAAGCTGGGAAAGCTGTGGCCTGACAGTTTCCACTTCAACACCCACTTATGAATTAATTATCTGTTCCAGTCTTTCAAACCCAGCCATTTTGGGAGTCTGGTTTTCGTAATGTGAAAGGTACAGAAACATAAAATTCCAATGTACTTTCCTTTATCCTCCACAAAAGTTTAAAGCATAAAGACAAGTCAGATGTCTATAAAAGCCTCAGGTTTGTTAGCACATTTCCAAGCAGGGGAAGAGGTGAGGGGAGGAAGTGGGGTACAAGGAAAGCTTGTGGTAGAGAAAAAACTTGTTTTGAAAAGTGGTGACAGAAGGTTAATCGCATATTCATTGCAGAATCTCAAAAGAAGTGCAGATGGCAACCAAGCCATCTGTATTTTTATTAGAACTATTGGTTAGCAGCTACTGTAACACATGATGTTATAAAAGTTGAAAGCTCACTGACATCAAATAAATAATTAGAGATATGTATGGAAAACCACTTATATAAAGATTTTCTTCTTTGAAGTTCTTCCTTAATATAGAAACTTTTATACAAGGTGTAATTTTTCCTTTATTCCACTAAAGTTACAAAAGCACTGTATGGGAAAAAGCCATTTAAATAAGTTAATTAAATGTAAAAGTTAGTATTATCTCACCGTGCATTGCCTCACTAAAATTTTGATGCTTTAGAGGCACCTTTATTTTGAATCAAACAACTTTACACCTATTTCACTCTTATCCTACTTTTTACTATGGTCCCTAACTCTGTATTGCTTAAGTTCTACAGATAGGTATTTTAGGCAACAAAGTAAACATTTTTTACTAAGTTAAATTGAAAACAAAGACTGAAAACTAATAGGCAATAAAAACGCTAAGTCCACGAATTAACAAATAATAGGCAGTAATCTTAATGGTCTTTTGGGAAATGAGGTGGGATCCAAGGATAAGTGAGAAGAACAACTCAGATTAGGTGTTGAAGCTACAAAGTGAAGAAATTCTCTGGTTATTGAATTCCTATTCTGAGTATGTAGGGGACAATCAGGTCTCCATATATTTGCTGAATCCTGCCAGGTTCTCAGTATAAACTGTAAAAATAATACAATTGGCTACAAATCAGTGTTGTTCTGGATAAGTACCAGGCTCCCTCTTTAGGGCAGCTCTTTTCAGGTACAGGGATCTCAGCACAGGTGAAGAATGACTGGGTTCTTCATTTTGCTCTAGATGCAATGGACTGCCCTCCCATGAGGTTTCCTAGAAAGTCAACGTCATAGACAAAACCATCTCAACCTTTAGTGGAAGGAATCCTCTAGCTCAGCAAAACCAGGTCATAAGCTGTGTACACAGGGAAAAGCACTTTTCTAGCAATTTCAATTTCAGATATGAGTAAGTTGTGAGATAAATAAAGTACATTTCAATATGATGCAAGACAAATCTTTCTACTGACACAGGCTGACTACACAGCACCCAGCTGCACATAATCAAAAAGGCCTAAAGGGAAGCCACTAATAGGCTCTTCTGTGCAAGATTCTCCTTACACGTGTTTATCATCTTTGTGGGTTTTCATCATTATCTTAATTTTGTAATTTCCACGATTCTTCAGTATAGAGTAAAACATAACAAATTACCTAAAAAAGATCTGAGCTGATCGAAAACTTCATGTCGCAGGGAATTTTGCTAGACTGACTAAAGACTTCATGGAGCAGGTCTGTAATTTTTAAGGAAATTTACAAATAAGCCATATGAAAAGCAGGTTTCTGCAACGCCCTCTGAATTGGTTTTGCATTGGGGTTAACATAAACCACATTTTCTGTGAGTTCTCTCAAAACAGCATTTCTCTGTGTAGGTTGTTCCACAGAAAGTGCAAAGTAAAGTATACAATGTGTACATCTTAAACACCTATGAAAACATTCATTATTGCAAACTGTACCAGGTGTACTTGCTCCCTTTTCATCATCTTGTTCTTCAGGTATCTGAAGGGTTAACTGGATTATGATCATCTTATTCATTTCAGAGTTAAATGGACTTCAGGATTCCATTTTGGAGAAAGAGTTATAAACTCTGGGAAGCTGAAGTCACAAACGTGGGCTGTAACATCTTCTCCAAGGTTATATTTGGCTACTTGTATTATTCTCTGTGGCAAAAAAGGGTATATCTAACCATCCCCTTGGCATTTGCATTCAAATTCACATATGTAGTGCATGAAACACATCCAAAGCTGTCTTTGATCTAATTTTAGATTGCTTACATCCGTATATTCCAGTGACTTCAGCAGACACAATTCTGATTCACACCAGCCCCCTCTCTCGTCTCCACTAAGCTAAGCTGCCCTTCATTCACATCTGTGTCTGCTTCAGTAAAATCAGTAGTGTTGTCCAGAGCAAAACTTGGCCCTAAGTTTCTCTCCAGAGAAAAAGACTTTTTTTTTTTTTTTTTGTCGGTTTCAAAGAAGACATCATTCTCAGAGACCAATTGCTTCGAAACAAAACATTCTGTACTTTTCTTCTTCTCTCTCCCCCTTCCCCTCATATCAAATTTCCATTGCACAATACTTGGAGAGGGCAACATTTATAACATGGAAAAGATGATGTTGGCTTGTCATAACCACCACTGCTTTAAAGACAAACAGAAAAAAATAGATAAAAACCACAGCAGTAAGTGTGAAAGAAAGTTAATGCCACCACAAGAGGACAATAGGGACCAACGATGAGATTGGAAGAAAGCTGGCCAAATTTAAAACACCAAGCAAAGGGAAAAACCTGCTAACTGTCAACAAAACAGGAGGTCATTGGGAAGATCATATAAGTCTGCCTTCAGAGGAGTTAGCAAGTGCTAGTCATATAAATCTACCCTCTGTTCAAAAAGCATCTGCCGGGCCATGACGATGGTGGCAGCAAAGCCAAAGGAGTACATGTGTTTTCTTTTATTGATGATATAAATGAGGAAGGGAGGATAAAGAGTGAGAGAGACAGGATGTAGCTGATACTGCAGTGATTTAATATTATATTTTAAAGTACACCAGGTATAAATGGAAATATGTAGATCAGGATTTATAACCTTCCTGCCTCTAAACAAAGGAAGGCCAAGGAGAGCCAAACAGGACTTGGTATTCCGCAAGGTGCTTCACTGTAAGACTGAAGCTCCCGTCTCTGATGATTTTCACTTCACTACTTTAAAACTGAGAAGAATTCAACAATTTAAAAACTATGACAAATAAAACAGTGCCTCCACTACACGCTTCATCTGCCTGTGGACAGCCAAATCATAAATGACTACCTTGGATTCTACGCAAATTGTGCATTGCATTAGAAAGACATCAGAACACGACAAATTCTCAAGGCCATTTGACGCCACCTTCAACAGATTGAGAGAGCATGTGTACAGAGTATCCTGCAACCACAGCAGATGGAAATACTTAAATGCAGAATATCTGAACTAACTGCTGCTGTAGTTGACTGTATTTCCCTTAAGAACTATAAATACGTTATGTATATTAGCTTAGCACTAGTACACGTGGTTGTTTCTGTAAACCTGGTAAAATTGATTACACAGGTAAAACATTAATGACTTTGGTAGGAGTATCTCCAAATAGCTTTTTAAATCTGAAATTAGAACTATTACATGAGCTCAACAGCAACAGCAAGAAAAACATAACCTAGACACCACTATATCCAAATAAATCATAGCTCGAGATTCGAATAAATGAGAGTTAAGAACAGTCCTAGTAACCTTTCAAGGTGGCAGGATCAAGTAAAAACTGGGCTGAGACCTTATTCTTTACTTTTTTCCTAAATTAATTTACTACAGTGATTGCAGATTACTATTGCTCAAAGTGAATTTGTTGACTCAATAATCCTTTTTAACACTTTAATTGACATACTGTGTATACTTAAAATGCCAGAGCTATCTAGGATCTAATCCCTTACGCTTTTTTTTTTTTTAATATCCTACTAAATTCAACAGATTTACTTCTGATTTACTTCAGAATCTCACATATTGCATTTTTTTCCTTGTAGATCGTATTCATACATCTAAGCACACATTAGAATTACTAGCATCTCAGGGTAAAACATACTGACCACATTAAATTTCAAATGACTAGCAACTTGCTGGATCCGCACTTTCTACATGCTGAAAACTGAACATTCAGAGAAGTTCAGAGAAACAAGGAAAAGCATATCAGATCTTCTGCTAGTTGTAAAAAAATTAAACATAATCTTATGTTACATATGAACATTTACACTTGTGCCTTGAGTGTGAGAATTGCTAGACATGAATAATGGCGATGATACAGGACAAAAAAACCCCCACCTTTTTTCTCTCTGAAGACATACACAATTGAGATCTGCATAACAGGCATATCTAGAGACAAACATGATTTTTGGAAAAAATGAACAGTAAGGCCCAGCACATACATGAAGATTATTGGTAAAACCCAAATAAGCCTGAAAAAGCCTCAACCTAAATTCCTTGGGAAACAGTGGGTATGGAACTTTTTGGGATGAGATTTACTCTCGCAACAGGAAACAGAGCTAAAGAAAAATACCAGCTTGTATTTTCAACAGCAAAATATTTTAAAATACATAGATCATCCTTTGGTTCACCTAATCTTTTTTTCTTCTTGTTTTTCATTGCGTTTGTTATTCTAAAATTCTGCTTACAAACCAGAAGGGCAGTGACAAATACAGACTTCAGGAAGCATTATCTAAATGGTACCTTAGGCATTGAGGGCATGAGGTTAAATTTAAGGCACCTGCATATTTCATATAAACCCTTTGCTTTGTACTCTTTAAACCTTGTCCTAATACCAGTAACACTTTGTTTCAGTTATTACTAATTATTAACGTTGTTGTG